TGATCATAAAAGTCTTAAATATTTGTTTACACAAAAAGAACTGAATATAAGGCAATGGCGGTGGCTAGAATTTATGAAAGACTATGATGTAGAGATCCATCACCATCCAGGCAAAGCTAATGTGGTGGCAGATGCACTGAGCCGAAAGACGACTAGAAGTTTGGCATGAACTCTCATTTCCCTCAAGATCAATGGACTGCTCGCTAACATAACCGTAGAACCTACCTTGATTGAAGAAATTAGAGCATGCCAATGTGAAGATAACCTTTTAGGAAAAAGTACGAGGAGCAAAGAAGTACACCTGATCCTAATTTCACATTAAGTAATGGGATGCTAAAATTTCAAAATTGAATTTCCGTTCCCGACATTCCGGAACTCAAGAAGAAGATACTGGTGGAAGCTCATAGCTCGAGATTCGCAATCCATCCCGGCAACACAAAGATGTACCAGGATCTGAAGGAACACTACTGGTGGATATGAATGAAAAGAGACATAGCAAGCCATGTCTCCAAATGTCTGTATTGTTAGCGTGTTAAAGTAGAACATCAGAGACCTGCAAGATTGTTGCAACCACTCCCTATTCCTGAATGGAAATGGAAGCACATCACTATGGACTTCGTGATTGGGTTACCACAGTCATTTTCGAAGAATGATGCAATATGGGTTATAGTAGACCGATTGATGAAGTCAGTGCATTTTTTTCCAATCAAAATCATGTACTCTCTTAATAAGTTTGCCACCTTATACATCAAGGAAATTATTCATTTGCACAGCACCCCAGTTTCAATCGTGTCTAACCGAGACCCTTGCTTCGTGTCTCACTTCTCTGGAACAAATTGCAGGAGGCTTTAGGGCCTACACTGAAGTTTAGCATTGCTTATCACCCACAAACTGATGGGCAAATCCGAAAGAACAATCCATACATTGGAAGACATGTTACGTGTATGCGTGTTGGACCTCAAAGGTAACTGGAATGAGCACCTACCTTTTGTGTAATTCGCCTATAACAACAGCTATCAGGCAAGCATTGGAATGGCACTGTACGAAGCTCTGTATGGAAGGAGATGTTGATTACCTCTATGCTGGACGGAAGTCGGGGATAGGAAATTGTTAGGCCCTGAAATCATGCAAATCACAAGTGATAAAATCTAACTTATCTAGCAGCGAATTCACACTGCCTAGAGCCGCTAGAAAAGTTATGCAAATACACGGAGACGGGACTTGGAATTTCAAGTAGGGGATCATGTGTTCCTTAAGATCTCACCAGCAAAAGGAGTTATCCGATTTGGAAAGCGAGAAAAGTTAAACCCAAATTGCATCGGGCCATTCGAGATATTGGAAAGAATTGGTTCTGTAGCATATCGCCTTGCACTATTGCCTGAACTGTCTAACGTTCACAATGTGTTTCACGTTTTGATGCTCCGACGGTACCTCCGAGATCCAGAACATGTCGTCAACTATGAGAACTTGGAAGTCCAAGAGGACAGCTCTTATGAATAGCAACCAGTGCAGATTTTCGATCATCATGATTAAGTTCTTCAAAACAAGACCATACCGTTGGTAAAAGTCTTATGGCAAAATCATCGTGTCAAAGAAGCTACGTGGGAAACGGAAAGTCAAATGTGAGCGAAATACCCACACCTCTTCGAAAATTAAGGTACGTCAAGTTTAGGGACAAACTTCTATTTAGGAGGGGAGAAATGTGACACCCTGAATGTTTAATTAAATACCACATAAATATTTATAGTTATATATAATTATGGTTGTATGTGATAATTTATAATTGAATAAATAAGTAAATAAATAATAACAATAATAATAAAATAAATATATGGAATTAGAATAATAATAATATGTAATAGTAAAACAAAATAATTAATAAAGTATAATTTAAATTATTAATTAGAGTCAATGTAAAATTAAGGTAAAATAATAATAATAATAAAAAAGTATACGCAAATCAATTTGCCTTATCAACTATATGATGTAGGAGATCTCCTGGGGATTAAGCAAATCAACCATTAATGAGAGAAGATTTGGCAATTGTCCTGGAGAGATAGAATTAAGCCACCTGTGCCATCTAAGCAAATAGGAGAGGTGAGTCATCAACCATGGGGTCATCATGATGGGATGAGTCAGCACTAAGGAATGTGTATATAAGGGAGGGAGGGGGCTGTGAAATAATAAGGGATCAAACGAAAGAGAGAGAGAGAGAGAGAGAGAGAGAGAAGCAAGAGAATACAACAAAAATAAGAGGGAAATAGTAATACTCAATATTAAGGTGATTTATATTATACCTTGAGTCACCATGATATATTTTACGTATATTTTGACTTACCATAATTTATTTTATACAAGTTGTGTTTTATAAATTATATTAATATTTCAATTATGTGAACTAATTTCTGAACTCTATTTGTTTAAAATGAAACCCATGGAAAAGTTTGTTTAAATTTTAGTATATTTTTTACTATGACCATATAAACAATTATTTTTTGTAAGTACCACCACGGGAGTCCCATGCCTTGGGGGACTTGAATGACCATTGGCTTCTGTTTGGCCACTTTGTGGTCCTCTGTTTGTCATGGATCCATTGACCTTTGTTTTGACTGTCACTCCAGTGACCTCTACTCTTCTCTGTTCTGTACCATGGTTATGGTTATTTATTTACATAATTTATGTATTTCAGTTTCTGTCATTTTAAATCATTCGTTTATTTAAATTAAGTTCTGTTACTATTTTAGCTTAAATAACTATCCATGGTTATTTTGTATTCCCTATACTCTTGGCATAATATTTCTCACTCTGCTGTGTACTTATAACTGTTACCCTTTTAAGTGAGGAGATGTAAGGGAGACCCATAACTTCACATAGTGGAAACCACATGAGAATTTGATGTTGAACCATTATTTTTTTTTCTTTTATTTATTTTATTTTTGCTCCTTTTTATTTTTACTCGAGGTCGGTAACTGAATAAAAAATAATAAAAGCCCTACAAATGTATTTTCTCTTATTAAAATAGTAAAATGAAGTAAATTTTCTGTTTAATTATTTTTATTTCCATTTGCCTCCGCCTGCACCATTTTATTTGCCACAATTAGAATAAATTAGTGAGTTGCGATTCTAGCCCTAAGCCCCTGGGGTTGAGTTGTGACAAAAATGATGAGTGCATTTTGAATTTTTCATTAATTTTTTTTATCAAATTAGTTTTTAAGGTTTTTTAGAAAACATGTTATGAAAGCAGTTTATATATACATGCAGGTACGGATATGGATACGGGTACGAGTAAAATATAGATACGTCAATTTAGCAAATTCTCAAAAAAATAAAGTATAGATTCGACTGGGGTAGGTTAATTTTATTTTTTAATTTATAATTAAACATCTAACATACAATTCAAAATTTAATATCATAATTAAAAAGAGAAATTACAAAACTAAAAAATAAATCATTCAACAATACGAACTATACTTGCAGTTGAACCTCCACTTCTTGACGAACTCGTATGCCTATAACCATTATTAACGAAATAAGTTGTGAATTCTTTCACTTCATTCAAGTATATAATTTTTAAATATTCAAATAACAATTTTAAAACATCAATACTATGATGAAAGTAATAATTTTTTTTTCATCTCTTATTTATATATTTATGAATGTCTACTACAATAGAAGACTATTTTATACAACAGTAAGAAGAAAGGGCACAGAGTGGGTGATTTGATTTTACATTACCTAATCTTTTTGAAGATAATTAAAGAGGAATAAGGTTGTGGGTTGCAACAAATTCCAACTGCTTTGTGGAAAAAATATGTACAAAAAAAAAAGGATCAGAAAAAATCTGAAACAAATTGGGAATATGAAAAAAAATGTACTCATGGAGTACCCCTAAAAGTCATATAAAATGTACTCATGGAGTACCCCTAAAAGTCATATAAAATGTACTCATGGAGTACCCCTAAAAGTCATATAAAATGTACTCATGGAGTACCCCTAAAAGTCATATAAAATGTACTCATGGAGTACCCCTAAAAGTCATATAAAATGTACTCATGGAGTACCCCTAAAAGTCATATAAAATGTACTCATGGAGTACCCCTAAAAGTCATATAAAATGTACTCATGGAGTACCCCTAAAAGTCATATAAAATGTACTCATGGAGTGCCCCTAAAAGATTATGAAATTTTTGTTCTGACCCCGACGTGCCCAACCGCATACTCATGGAGTACCCACAACATACCGGTGTATAAAAGTCATATAAAATGTACTCGATATGTTTTTGCCATACGCGATATTCGTACCCTACTCGGTAAGTATCTGATACTTGTACGGTAATATTTTTGGAGTACCATGCTTCATTGATATATATATACATTGTAGAGCCCCTTCGTTTTGCACTTTGTTCCTTTGTATTTGGATGGGATATCTTTTGAACCTTCTGTTAATATAATCAATAATATTTGGGAGGTCTAATTTAAGAGCTTTAATGGTGGGTCCCATATGATGATGTGATGTTTAGGCTTGCTTTTTTTTTTTTGACACCTCATTAGTGCTCATGTTAGAGCTCTAGTGTTAGAGCTCTCTATCACTACCCTAATATAATATCGCTTATCGGGAAAAACAAAAAGGGTTTGACATTGCATGATCTAGCTAGCTGGTAGTGTTCTTTGAGCTTACCAAAAAATCCATTGATCCACTTTGTTACTTGCATTGGTTATATTCTACTCATATTCACCTCATTAATATTTTGTAAGAATTTCTTGCTTATATCATACTTGGTCTCCAGTTGCAAATAGCACTATGATCCTTTTTTCTCAATAAATTATATTTCAAATGTAGCCATTTTAGCAATTTTCTTGGATTAGTAGGCAAAAGAATCAGCCCCTGGAAGGAGATGAAAATTCTCTTTATTTATCTATCAACTGATCACTATAATTTTAACTTTTCAAAACACCTTTCATTGTTAAGTAGTTAATCCTCCTTGCATATGATATTCCATGGACCAATAATGTCACCTTGAATGTTAAGGAGATCACCAGGCCAATACCAAAAGATCTTGGAAAACTTTTACGTCTTCAGGATGTGCAATTTAGCTATAACAAAGTACAAGATGACCTGACTACTTTTTATCTCATCTTTAACAAACTACACTAGTTTAGAATATATTGTTGCTGATGGCAATCTTCTCAAAGGTTCATTGCCTGACTCCATAGCCAATCTCTCCACCCATATTAGCTACATCTCTATAGAAGGAAATCAATTCCATGGAAGAATTCTTTCAGGAATTGGGAACCTCCTTAACCTTACTGTCTTTGATATAGTAAATAGTTATCTTACTAGCCCTATTTCCACTGATATTGGAAAGCTGTCTAAATTGCAAGGGTTGAATTTACAGGGGAACAAATTCACAGGACTACCTCCTTCACTTGGTAATTTAACATCATTGAATATTCTCTCATTGGGACAAAACACTATCCATGGAAGCCTACCTCCAAATCTTGGCAATTGTCATAACTTGTTAGAATTAAATCTTTCACATAATAACCTCTGCGGTTCAATACCACCTGAAAATATGAATCTCTCTTCCATTTCAAAATCCTATAGTTTAGCTCACAATTCTTTGACTGATTCTATTCCATCAGAAGTTGGGTATTTGAAAATCTCAAGAAGTTGGATGTATCCAATAATAGGTTATCAGGAAGAATACCAAACTCTCTGAGCAATTGTTTGAGCTTGGAATATCTTTACCTGGGCAGGAATTCATTTGAAGGCCAAATACCTCAAAGTTTAAGAGAGCTAAGGGGTTTACGAGAGTTGGACCTCTCCTGCAACAATTTATCGGGGTTGATCCCAAGTTATCTAGGTGAGCTTCAATTGGAAAAGTTGAATCTTTCTTTTAATTTTCTACATTGGCCAGTTTCAATACAAGAAGTGTTTTGAAATGCAAGCGTGATTTCAATTGTTGGAAATAATGATCTCTGTGGAGTTATTGCAGAATTGAACCTTCCCCCTTGCCCGTCCACAAAGTCAAAGGATATTAAGTTATCTTACAAGATGAAAGTGATATTGTTTATGGTGATTGCTCTTGTGATATGTGCAACTTTGTTAGTTGTCTTCTTTATATTTCTCCAACAAGGACATGTCCTGAAAAAGAAGACACCTTCCGTGCCATCATTCAAAAACAACATTTTGAGGGTTTCTTATGCAGAGCTTCTCAAAGCTACCAATGGATTCTCATAGGCTAATCTAATTAGTATTGGAAGCTATGCTTCTGTTTATAAAGGTATTCTTAATCAAGGTCATATGACAATTGCGGTGAAAGTGCTCAATCTTCAACTTAGAGGAGCTTTTAAGAGTTTCATGTCGGAATGCAAAGCACTAAGAACTATAAGATATTGAAATCTCTTGAAACTTGCAAGTGCTTGTTCTAGTGTGGAATTCCATGGTAATGAATTTAAAGCCATAGTATATGAATTTATGGCCATAGGAAGCTTACATAAATGGTTGCACCCATATAGAGTTGCAGAACAAGAGCAACAAGAACACAAAAAACTTAAATTGATAGAGAAACTGGACATTTCCATTGATATTGCTTGTGCACTTGAGTATCTTCATTGTGGTTGTGGGTCAACAATTATTCATGGTGATCTTAAGCCAAGTAACGTTCGTCTTGATGATGAGATAATGGCCCATGTTGGAGATTTTGGGTTAGCAAAATTTATTTCTGTAGCTTCGAATGATGTATCACAAAGTCAAAGTGATTCAATTGGAATATGGGGAACCATAGGCTATGCTGCTCCAAGTACAAAATCTTTACAATTTCCGTAGAATGAAAAAAATTGAACTTGCATTAGGAAAATTAAACTAAGCGTGGTTTCCATGAAAGGCCATCACATATCATTAAAATTATTTCAAATTTTCATTCAATGAATGATTAAATGCATTTTCTATTGGAATTGCAATCAATTTGCAGAGTATGGCATGGGCGACATGGCTTCCACACTAGGGGATGTATATAGCTTTGGGATTCTTTTACTGGAGATGTTTATAGGTAAGAGACCAATTGACAATATGTTTAAGGATCATCTAAATCTTCATAACTTCGTTAAAGAAGCTTTACTTGACCAAGTGATGGAGATTGTGGATCCCTACATCCTATTGAAACACAACACAAGTAGTTGGATCAGGGATTGCATGTTTGCCATTATGAGAATTAGGGATGGATGTTCAATAGAATCGCCAAGAGATCAAATGGAAACAGAAAGTGTTATTAGCGAATTGCATAAGATCTAAATTACATACATGAATGAAGGGTTGAACCTAGGCTAGGAAGTTGGAAGAGATTTCGCAACATAAAGGCCAAAGTTATTTATCATACGCTCTTGACCTATGCCTATGCATATGCATATGCATACCAAAATGAAAAATGTTATACGCAAACAAATTTTTTACCTAATTTTCTTACAACTAGACAATGACATGAGTTTCGCATATATTTATTAATGTAAACTTCACTAGCTTTGCGTCTAGTAATAAGAAAATTTGGTTAGAAATTTGTTTACGTATAGCATTACTCTACCTAAATACATCTTTCCCTCATTGAAACGTCACAATTTCAATTTTTTATTTTCTTTTTCTTTCATTTTTGATTATAATCTATTCATGCAGCAAAGATGAGTGAGTGGCATTAAGCACTTCTCTTTTCTTTTTCTTTTTTTGTTATTTATTTTTTTATCGTTTTGGACGGTGAACTAAAGCATGCTTATTCTTTTGTTGCTTAAGGTTACATCCAAGGTCCTCCAATAATGGCTACCTCAACAATATGCTACTTCAACAACCAGTAGAACACAAGTGGTGGCTTTATGTTATTGTTACCTTATCAATATTCAATCTATTGCTTGAATAAGTAACTGTCACTTTTCTCCTTTGGTTAGATTGTATTATATCAAACACATGTTCATGTGGAATGTTATGTTTCCAGCTAAGATTGTGTGCTTGGGATTACCAATATTTATCCCTGTTAAATTAAAACTCTAATTTCATTGTATCTTGACTTTTCCTTGAAATTACATGTCCATGTATCAAAAATTATTTTCTTTGTAGCTTTGTTTGATATTATTGTAATTTGCCTTTCAGTCATGGCAACTCTGTGTAACATAGACTCATGCGCTGCTACCACTAGCACCAAGTGTCCCACTAGGATATATATATATATATATATGTGTGAGAGCTAAGCTAACAGGTAATACTAGCTCTATTGTCATGGGAACAAAGAAAAATATGTCAAAACAGAATCTTGATATGGGTGTTTTTGGCGATCTTGATTGAGCCCAATATGCCTCGTCATATGCTACAAATAATCAAAATTCAAAAATATTTATGTTGGAAGAGACATTACAGGAAATTAAATATTACTGACCTGAGGGGCTTTATTCCACTAGACGACTCCCTCTGACACTAGTAACAAACACATAGTTTTGGAAGGTATATGCATGCTTTTGTGGCTCAATGTATAAGGAACCAATATATTAAAGTGACTAGGTCCAACATCTTGCCAGTTGTTAATAAGTTCAGGAACAATCTTGATAAGATCTTGCAGCTCAAGTGTTTCATTAGCTATTCTCCCAAGGAAAGTTGTCTTCCGAACACTGATGTCTCCTTCAACACATAAAATAAGGCTTTCCTTAGGTGTTGGCTGCACATTAGAATTGGAAATGTCCTTTGACTGTTTATCCACATTCACTTTGATTAAAGTAGTATATGCTCAGCCCGGTTTCTGTGAATAATTCCTACTGAACGCAGCAAAATCTCAACCATCTTCTGGCTGGACTTAAAAAAAAAAAATGCTATTATGAAGTTTCCTTCAATTCCCATTGAAAAATGAGGTTGTTCTCAGTTTTGAAGTGTTGTACTTGAATAAAGATATGGCTTTCAAAATTCAGTGACTAGGAATGACCATGCTCAAGGCCAATTTACAAGTTCGGGCAGATAACTGAATTCACTTCAGATTTGCCCATCCTCAATACAAGACAACTAATAATAATCCAAAAGTATAGATTCCATGCACAATACTTGTACCACAATCATTTGCCTCAATTTAATTTATTTTTGGTTAATTTTACCTTTATTCCTAAACTATTGTCATTTTTATTATTATTATTTAATCCTTAAACTATTTATTAAAACTATTTAGGCATTCAAATTTCCAACCCAGTTGATATGGTCAAATTGAAGACAATCGGTAATGGTGTAAACCCAACATGCAAAAAGATAATTTTATAATTTGAACAATCCAAATCATACAATACAACCAAACACCTATTTTCTTACCCACACTATATTACATAACTTACCCCATACAATTAAGCATCCATTTTTTCCTCTCATCATTTAAAAAAAAAAAGTGAATAAAAAGAAATAGTGTTTATGTTAGGACTATGAGACACCAGAAATCAATCACACACAATAACACAAGAGATTTACGTGGTTCGGCAATTGCCTATGTCCATGGAGATATATCCACTATAGAATTTCCTGTAGGGAGTTTACAACACTCACACCTCACTCTCTCTTTATAGCACTCTCACTTACACACTCTTAGTGTTTTGCTCACTGTCCTGTGTCTTGTGTATTCAACCCCTCCTCACTCATCTCAATTTATAACCAAGAGAAGAGGAGTGGGTGAAGGGACAACCATAATTGGCCAAGGTGGTGCCACCCTCACTATCTTCCTTTAGTGAGTTGGTATTGCCCCCCACCTTTCTTTAGCACATGTGGCCACCCACACCATGTGGAGTGTGGCCTGGAAGCTAACAATTCTCCCTCTCCATGCCCACATGGATAACTGACTTCTCACTTGAAGTCCATCCCGGTCAGATTCTTGCAAACTTCTAGTTTGTCTCTGGTGACACCCTTGGTCATCATGTCAGAAGGATTCTTGTCCGTGTGAATCTTCACTAGCTTCATTAACTGCTTTTCCATCACTTCTCGTATCCGATGATACTGAACATCCATGTGTTTTGTACGTGAATGGTACATGGAATTCTTGCTCAGATCAATTGCACTCTGACTATCACAATGTACCTTGTACTCTTCCTGCTGTAGACCCAATTTGTGGAGAAACCACTTTAACCACAACATTTCCCTTCCAGCATCTGCGGCAGCAATGTACTCTGCCTCTGTTATAGATAAAGCAACAAACTTTTGTAGTTTGGACTGCCATGAGACAGTTGCCCCTGCAAAAGTGAACAAAAATTTTGATGTAGACTTTCTACCATCGAGATCACCTGCCATATCGGCATTTGTAACACCCTCCAAAATTGGTTCAGCTCCTCCGAAACATAAACACATGTTTGAAGTTCCCTTTAAGTACCGAAGAATCTATTTGACAACCTCCCAATGCTCCTTTCCTAGATTGGTGAGGAATCTGCTCACAACTCCAACTACATGAGCTATATCTGACTGGGTACACACCATTGCATACATCAAACTTCCTACTGCAAGAGAATAAGGGATTGCCTCCATTTCTTTCCTTGCAGAGCTGGTCGTGGGACACGAACGCTTTGTCACATTGAAATGGTTGGCCTGTGGTATGCTGACTGGCTTGCATCTTTCATGTTAAACCTTTCAATCACCCGTTCAACATATTTCTCCTGTGACAGCCATATCTTCTTGGCTATCCTGTCACGAACAATCTTCATGCCCAAAATTTGCTGGGCTAGACCTACTAAATTCTTTATGTCAAAATACTACGACAAGTCCTGTTTCAACTTGTTGATCATAGTAGTATCCTCTCCGATGATCAGCATATCATCAACATACAACAGTAGGATAATGAAGTTTCCATCCGAAAACCTTCGAAAATATACACACTGGTCTGCCACCGTTCTTGTGTACTCGTGATCCACCATAAATGAATCAAACTTCTTGTATCATTGTCTTGGCACCTGTTTCAGGCTGTAGAGACTCTGCTTCAACTTACAGACTAGATTCTGTTTTCCTTTGACTTCAAATCCTTCTGGTTGCTCCATATAGATCTCTTCCTCCAAATCACCATAGAGAAAGGTAGTCTTGACATCCATTTGTTCTACTTTTAGATTCAAGCGAGCTGCTAATCCCAGAGCTACTCGAATGGAAGTCATCTTCACAACTAGGGAGAAGATCTCATCAAAATCAATTCCCTTTTTCTTCCCAAAGCCTTTCACCACCAAACGAGCTTTGTGCTGCAATAGTTTACCGTTGCCATCTTTCTTCAATTTATATACCCAATTGTTCTTCAAGGCTCTCCTGTCTCTTGGAAGTGGAACAAGCTCATAAGTGTGGTTCTTCTGCAAAGAACACGTCTCCTCCTTCATGGCTTGCATCCAACAGTCTTTCTCTGTATGACTCTTGGCTTCCGAAAAACTCTCGAGCTCCCCCTCATCAGTAATCAGAATATACTGAGAAGCAGGATATTTGGTTGATGGCACAGCAGCTCTTCCAGATCTCCGCAACTAAGGCCCAGTTGCCTCTGTTTGAGGGTTTGCTCCCCTGCTCAACACCGTCTTTATCCGGGTCTTCATCTCTTTCTTCTTGATCCTCAATTTCTGGCATAGGATCCTGCAACTCTGGCACTTCTTGTTGGACATCATCACATCTAGCATTTTGTGATGGCTTAGGAGATGGAAACAAGTCTGGAGTTATGACATCTCTAGACTTTGCAGATTTCTCAAAATCTGCTACTATCTAGTCTTCTTGGAACACAACATCTCTGCTCCTGAACATCTTCTTGTTCATTGGGTCCCACACCTTGTACCTAAATGTTGCATCTGTATAGCCCACAAATATGCATGGAGTGGACTTGTCATCAATCTTCTGTCTGTTTTTCTTGGAGATATGTGCAAGGGCCTTACACCTAAAGACTCTCAAGTGAGAATATGATACCTTTCTTCTGGACCAGACTTCCTTAGGTATCACAAAATTCAATGGGACTGAAGGCGACCTGTTGATGAGATAACATGCTGTACGGGTGGCTTCAGCCCAAAATGACATTGGCAACTTTTCCATTTTGAGCATACATCTGACTCTTTCGATAATAGTGTGCTTCATTCTTTCTATCACACCATTGTGTTGTGGGGTGCCGGGAACTGTTGTCTCATGTCTGATACCTCTGCTGGCACAGTATGCGGCAAAAGCATTGGAAGTGTACTCGCCTCCATTGTCTATGCGAAGACACTTCAACTTCTTCCCGGTCTCTCTTTCAACCATTGCATGGAACTCCAGAAAGTGCTAAAATACCTCATATTTTGTCTTCA